ATCAAACCTGGAAAACAAAATAAAGTAAAATAAATAAGTAAAAATAAATAAAAATAATATGTAATAATAATAAATGATAATAATATATATCATATATAATTCTTTTAAAAACTAAACATTTATTTTATATTATGTATATCTATCTATCTATTGTTCAGACGAGAATGGGTGTCTACAGGTATTGTTTAGACCCTTCGCATGTCCTATCTCTTAAGCAAGTCGAGTTGAGCCTCGTCATGACCTATTAGCAAGAGTTGATTCGAATTTTGGCCAAAGAAGTAAAAGAGATGACAAATAAAAAAATCCCCTTAGTAAAGGTCTTTCGATGAATCATGGGGTTGAAGAAATTGCTTGGGAGACCGATTAAGATATGTGGCTCCAGTATCTACATCTCTTCTATAAAGGTAAATTTCGAAGACGAAAATTCTTATTAAAAAGAGAGAGTAGCAACACCTTAAATCTTGAGTTAGTAGTTTGGCTTAACCCGAGAGCTATAAATAGAACCTTAAAGACTTATTAGAGTAATTGGACCTATTTACATTGAATTTGGTCTTGACTTGGGCCCAAGTGATAGAAATGTGGGATGAGTTTATTAAGGAAAATAAAGAAAATGGACCAAAAGTACAATTTACCCATGGCTTAATTTAAAGGTTGAAAACCTCCTATTTTATGTTTTGTTACGTGAACACCCCCTATTAGTTCACCAAACACTCTTCTCTTTATCTCACCTTTCTTATCTTCTCATTCCTCCTTTAAGTGAAAGTTTCAAAAATTTTGAGTCTAGTTGGGGTTAGATAAGGTAAGCATGAAAATCTTCAATCAAAGAGCTTCAATTCAAGCTCAATTACTCAAGTTTTACACTTAGTTTCCAAGAAATGATTTTTAGGGAGGTTTAAGAAAATTTATGGATTCTTGCTTGTTTTTATTAGATTCAAGTTATAGAAAGTGTTTTTAACTTTAATCCAACTATCTAGTTAAGTTAGTAATTCCTTTTCTTGTCTTTGATTAGTGAAAGAGGTGGGCGAGAGCTCAAGGGCAAGAGGAAATGAGAAGTTGTCTTTTAGGTGATTTGAGGACATTTCTAGCAATAAAGAATTCAAGGTAACACATTCACAACTTCCTCATATCACTTGTGAGTCATTAGAGACGCATTTTAACCTAAAGGTGAGTCATGGAACATTCATGGTAGATTTTAAGTTTTGTGGTGTTTAGCACGTTTAAAGCCTTCTTTATGACTTTTAATATCAAATAAAACACTTAAACATTAGTTGGGGACCTCAAGGGGGATTTTTGGGTGAAAATATGGGATTTTTCGTGCCAAAACAAGGCACCTCGTAGCGATGGTATCAATATTGTTCATCTTTCAGGCAAAAACAAGGTATTTTTAAAGAGATAATATTGATACTCATTCATAGAGTATCGATACCATGGTAGGATTATTGATACTCCATATAGGGGTATCGATACCAGGGTATGACTATTGATACTCCATATAGGGGTATCGATACCAAGGTATTTTTTCAAAACATCGAAACCAAATTTAGTATCGATACCCCAGCTTGGGAGTTAAAATGAAGGTTTTCAAAGTTTTGTGGTTATTTCAAAATTTATTTGTTTTTCTTTTTTCATACATTATATAGTTTTATTTTTTAAATTTTTATATAAAATTTTTAAAATTATCAAATTGTGACACGTGTCACTTAATTGAGGAAATTAACGTCGTTGATGTCCCGAGCACCTAACGTTTGTAACGTTTAATACCTGAAATGACAAAAATACTATAAGCACCTATTCAACACAAAAAGTATAATTTAGACACTTATTTTAGCATTAAGCCAAAAACTCAATATTATTATATTCAAATAATATCTTATTTTTATTTTAACTTTTGACTTTTTTTTTTGTTAAAGAACATTTCGTAAAATATATAAAAGAATAATATTGTTAATAAATAAAGTATAACAAATACTAAAAAGAGGGTAGTCCAGCAACATCCTAACAATTGCTGTTAAATCAAACATCACATCACAACTAGATGTGACGTGAGGACTGAGAGATTGCCGATGGAGATATGGCCAAACTGACTTTACATACTCTCCTTTAGGATTTCAATACATAAATAAATACATATTAATGTTCCTTATAAATAATATTTTAGTTATAATAATAAAATTAATTTCAAGCAGTATTAAAATAGTTATTTTGATTCTTTGTTTTCTAAAACTTTAGTTCTAATGTTTCAATTTTAGCCTAGACAGATTACGTTAGATAAATATTACTAGTTGATTAATAGTCAATATATATGTTTAATATAACGTGTTATATTTCACGTCATCACTTTAGTATTTTAATGATATAACATATATCATATTAAAAAATATGTGTCAATCATTAGTCAATTAACTATTCTCATTTAACATTAATTATTTTTAATTAAAAAATATTAGAAATTAAAATATTTAAAAAATAAAAAATAAAATGATTATTTATATAAATATTAAGAGCAAAAGTTTATCATTAATTAAATTTTACATATAACGCTTTCCATTTCTACTAGTCTCAAAGAAAATAAATATATACATTTTACGAAAAATATTAAATAATGTGAGCAAAATAGGTTCTCAATATCAAAATAATAAAAACAAAAGAGAAATAATTTAATAGACATTTAGTTTTTGTACTTTTTATTTTTTTAATTAAAAGGTAGCACAGCAAAATTTTGTTTTGTTTTCTTTACCCGTTTTCTATTATAAATAGAGATGTAACCTAGACCTAAAAAATCATTGAATAAAACTTCTAGCGCCGCCTAGGCACCGAGGACGTAAGCACATTGCCGAACCTCGTAAAATTCTCGTGTTCTTTTGTTTTCTTTACCCGTTTTCGTCAACAGTTTTAATACTTAAACTTTTAGTTTTTCAAAATCATATCTAATGTTTAATTCATTTTAGCATCCCACCGTTAAAAACTTAATGGGTTTAGTACATAAACTATCAATTTTGATCTATTCTATTACCTAAATTTTCATATTTTTTTCAATAATTAATGTTAAATTTTGAGCAGGAGTACTAAAATAAAACAAAAAATTAAAGTTTAAGTATGATTTTGAAAAAAATTAAAAGTTTAAGTACTAAAATGAATCAAAATTAAAAATTTATGTATTAAACGCATAATTTACCTGTTAAAATATTAATCGATAACATATGAAAGTTTATAATGTTATTTTTATTTTTTTTTTACCGTTATTACTTACATCCACGGGGAAAAGAATGTTGAAGAAAAGGAAACAACAAAGGAACAAGATGTCCCCATCCTTATTCCCATTGATACTCTTATCTATGTAGTCCTTCTCCAAAACCAAAAATAATGCAACCCTCTCCCCCATTCTTATTCACCTTTCACGTGTTCTTTCATTCCATTTTCGTCCTTTTTTTCTCTCGAAATCATATATATTTCGATATGCACGAATCAAGATATTTCAGTAGTAAAAGAATTATTGTTATTCCTTGAGGTCCCGATTTCGAGCACCATGAATGTCAGGAGTGTCAACGTTCAATGTAAAATGGTTGAGAGTTATCTTTAAATATATACTATCTTATACTTATCCCAGATTAAGGGTGATGGAAGTAGTCATAACTTTTGAAACATTATATTTTCATACAATTTCAGGGTTTTATATATTTTTATTGACGACTTAATTTCATATCCTTAAATTTCTAACATACTTCTTAAAAATGCCCGTTCTTAAATATTTTTTTTTATAATTTCTCACTTCATAGAAATGTATATTCATGATGTAACATAATGCTATTGTCTATGTCAATCAATACATATCAATTTCTTTTTTTTATATTGATTCGATATCAATGTAATTATGTTGTTTATTTAACTAATTATAATTTGAAAATGATATTAAGTTAGTAATAAAGTAACAATTTTCGATAGAAAATCATTAATTTTATTAAAAATAAAAAATATACAGAATTACAATGAAGATTTACAAGTAAAATATAAACAACCAAATATAATTGGTTCATATTCTATGTAAATTAAAAGTTTAGTTTATGCCTTTTATCTTTATCATTTTTAATATTTTTTATATTTTATATTTTAAATTTTCAATATTAGTTTAGACAATAATTGTTAAATTTTAGAATTAAAAATAATTAAATTAAATCTATAACTTATACATTGTATATGAACTAATAATCTGACCTAGTAGATATAACCACCACTATAAGGATTAAAACTAAAATTTAAAAAGTATATGGACTAAAACAATAAAACTAGAGTATAAAGATTACAGTGATAAATTATACATAATACAAAAACTAATAATCGAAATTTACAACAAAAACATATAATAATATCTCAAAAACTAAAAATAGTATAAATTATTAACGTACCAAAATTTATACATATATAAAATATTGTAAGCCTGGTAAAAATATGATAAATTATAAAATTATAGTAATATTATACAAACATGAATAGATAAGCTACTTAGATATATTATTGAGAAAACTATAAACTTGATCCCTCCAATTTTGATTTTATTCACTCACTATCACTAAAACTAATAAAATTACGTTTTGATCACTTACACTATCCACTTTTTCTAATTTTATCACTGGATTGTCAATATTTGTTATCCATGACAAATCCTTTGATTAGATTATGTAATACATATTTAAACTCATAGCCTCTGCATTATCACAACGATACTTATTTTAAATCTTTTTTAATTATTGATAATATACATTTTACAGATTCAACTGCTTGAAACTCGATATTATAGGAATAAGACTTACTTGACTATCTTGTACAAAAACAAAGAGAAAGATCATAAGCAAAATAGAAAGATAAAAGTAGAAAGCAAAGAGAAGAGAGAGATGAGACATCCCTCTAGGTAATCTCACATTATAATCAACTTACATTCCCAAAGCAAAATTCACTATATAAACAAACAAAACAACCAAGGATGTAAGTTAACCAAACCAGCATTGTTTATTATTTGAGAAAACCAAAAAAAAACCCTTAGATTTCAGTGTATTATTACTTTGCCTTTAGTTTTTAGGGCATGAAAACCTTGTTCCCACACTTGCAACGCCAAGCTTCGGGGTAGTACTCCAATGGCATCGCCAGACCCGGTTGAACCGGGACGTGAACCGCCTTACACGGCGAGCAACTCCCGCAGTTGGATCTACAAGAGGGCGGTTGAGAGCCCGGTCCACTTAGTTGTTTCTGAGACAAGAACCGGTCCCACACCCCCGACCCACTTCTCCTCTTGCTCCCTTCTCTCTCCCGGAACCTGCCGTCTGCATAAACCAGCATGAAACTGTACTGAGTTTGGACTGAGTCAGTGGCTACATCGTACTACATGAATATTCGAGTTGGAAAATTTTAAAATAGTTACCGAGTTGAGAACGAGTGCCGAGTGAAGCGGAAGCGAGTAGGAGAAAGGTGAAGGTAGCTACGACGTGGTGGTGGTGGTGTCGGTGGCGGGATACGCCCATGCCGTGGAGGAGATGGCGGAGAAGAAGGTTATCAAACTCAGCTCAAAAGAGTACTATTATTAAAGGTTCTGCTTTTGGTTTTGCGTATGTGTGTCCTTAGTCAAAAGACAGAAACACACTAAATATCATAAAAGTCCATATATATTGACTGGGCAATTTAGATTGTTGATCTAATACTAATCATTACAAATTAAATTTTGATAAAAAAATCAATATATATGAATAAAAAATAAAATATATAATATTTAAAAACGAGTTAAAATACCAATTTAAGAGAATAAAATATAATTAATGATATAAACAAAAGATAAATTTTAAATGAAAAGGCTTAAATAAGTATATATTCATATACATTCTTTAATAATAAAAAAGTTAGAGAATAATGATTCCAAGGATTTAGACCATTGATAACTAATGATAATAAAGTATAAGAAACAACGTCTAATTTAAGGTTAAGAAACGTCGGAAAATAGATGTGATCAAAAATATAATAAAAAATATAATATTTTTAATTTAATATAATATAAAATATTAATTTTTTCTAATATTTTCGGTTAAATTAAAAATACTATTATTTTTATCACATTTTCAGTTATTATATTTTTTACCATTACTTAAGTTTAAATTAGACGGTTTGAAAAAAAAAAGTAATAACAGTATATTGTACACGTATAACGTAGGACTTTAATAACAGTATCTTAAAAGAATATAAAATTTTTAGATAATTTTGATTTAAATTAAAATATAAAAATATATAACAAAATTATGAACTATTTATTCGAATTTAAAATTAAATTTAAAATAATATATATGCGTGTGAGAGAGAAAAATATTTGTTTTATTATTTAGCTAAATACGTGGGGGTGGTGCCCTGGTCTACCATTACCCTGAATGATTGAGATGGTGTTTTCAGACAGTGTGCTTCAGTCCATACTTGAAAAGAAAACATATTTATAAAATCAATAAAAATAAAATATTAAATTGGCATCACAGTTAATTTGATGTTATTTCATTTAAAAGATAAATCATATATATCAAAAAATATTTTTATATAAATTTTAAATATAAAAATTAAAAATATTATTTAAAGATAAAATGTAAAATTAATAGATTAATATATTTGAGATATTATCGTTATATAAGTATTTTAAACGTATTAATAATTATCATATAATATTTTAAACATATTTAAAAAAACATTTCTATTTATATATATATAATAAAAATCCACTATATTTTTAAAAAATAGAAATATCCAGAATTACAATGAAGATTTCTAAGCATAACCCTAAACGTAAACTAAATTAATTAGGATATTTTCATATAACTATTGACACAAAAATTATCTACATATATCACACAATGACCAAAGAAGGAAAAGATTAAAAAATATAATCAAAATACTATAACAAAATAAAGATACGAACAAATCTGATTGCATCGGTAAACAAATAATAAAATGTGATGAAGTTATTGAAAAACCACCGATAAATCGCAAATCAGAGTCAAGCGACGTAAGAAAATTATCTACGAACGCAAAACGCGTATCCAAATCAATCTGAGGGTCCAACGTAGGGAATATCAACATGAAAATAAATAAGCGTCATATTTATCAGCCGTGGCGATATCAAATCCAACCATGATAAAAAAAAAGATAACCAAAAATAACAATCAAACAATCAAAAACTACCAAAAAGGTATAGAAAAACATGCTACAAAGACAGTGATAAATGTGTCACAAATATAAAATTATTCTTATTCAAAAATTAAAAAAAACAAAGTGAAAAGATAACCGGTGGTCGATAAACAACATCAAAATCAATATTATCATCGACTAAAAAAAATTAACAAAAAATTAAATTGACCTATAGAAAATAACACAAATTATAAAGAGAGAAAAGAGGGAGATGAGAGGGACTGAGAGAGGAGAGTGTATATATATATATATATATATATATATTAAAAATGTCAATATTTGATTAAAAATTTTATTTCATGTATGTTAGTTAAAAACATTGATTAATGGAATCTTTGGTGCGTGTGTGTATATATATATAATATGTGAGAATGTCTAAGGAAAGAAAACTTAATATAAATATAAGAAAATATATTATTAAGAATATTAATATTTTTTTAATATTTTTGGTAAAACAATATTTAAAATATTATTTTTTTATTAGAAATATTAATATCGGACATTATCTAAAATATTATTTTTTATTAAAAATGTTAATATAAAAAATATTCATTTTAAATAATGAAATTAATATTTTTTTTATAAAAAATAATATTTTAAGTAATATTTTATTAAAAATATTAAAAAATTAACATTTTTAAAAATATTTTTATTTAACCTTAAGCTGACGTACAACACCACTATCCTATTATTTGAAAAAAAAAATAAGATATGTGTGTGTTCACGTGCACTTTGATGTGACAGATATTCATCATATTTTGAGATGTGAATAGCTCCATCGAAAATCCCTCAAACTGTAAAACAGTAAAAAGTAATTTCTATTTTTTTTCTAGAAAAATAAAATCGATACATACATTTTTGGCATTATTTACCTAAATATCACTTGCCAAAAAATAATTTTCAGACTAACGTTATGGTTATTAAGAGTTTGACAACATATTAGGTCAAAATGAAAGAAAGAAGGATCAAATTATGTTTAAAATTTATCCAAAAGAATAAATGTTTACACTATGTGTTGAATAAGAATACTCAACCAACGAGTGTTGGCACAAATAGTTATGATTCAAGAATTTGAACTTGTAATGTCAAGTTCGAATCTTACCACCGTCACTCTTGATAGTTAATCTGTAAATCCTTATGTAAATCTCATTTAGGTCTTTGGTATACCCTGACCCTAGACTGGGGGAGCCACTCATAACCTAAACTTTTTTGTACCAAAAAATATGAATACGTACACCTTTAACCGTCGTATTAACATAGGTATAATTAAGTTCGAGACTTGTCTTTGATAGTTCAAAATCGATTACTTTGATCATGAGATTTTGAAACCCTACATTGTTCACATATTGAATTTTTAAATATAAAATTTTAAACATATATTCATCGAGTGATTGACTATACACAAGTCATTGTTGTTCAACTTTATTTTGTGTTCATTTAAACACTTGTTTTCTACATGTATCACACTTATTTCTTCTTTTTGAACAAAATTAACAAATATATACACTTATTTTTTTCCTCATTCTTTTATTTTAACGTAACTTGAGATTAAATTATGATCGATCATACCACGTAAGTTATCCCACCTATTGATCTATCATAATTTAGTTTCAAGTTATGTTCAAAGACACTTTTTGATTATCTGATTTCACGTCTAATAACACCTCGGTAGCTGAGGTAGGTACAATGAACAACTATAACAACATCATCTCGAGATTGAAGAGGGATCACGTCTTGAAGAAGTAAGATACAATGTTCAACATCAGAAAAAGAAACAAAAGTCCTAAAATTTATAAACAGTGAATATGTATCTTATCATACATATTTTAAGTTGGGTTAAAATATTATAAATATTACAAGAACCGAAGGATCTAAGCCATGAATCCGGGTAAGGGCCTATTCTTGGAGGAGGTTTCAGGCGCACATGAGATGGGCCTGTTAAGGGGCAGTGTCCTTATTAAAGGAACAGACACCTACATTCCATTTTCATTGGGTGTTGAAATTGGAAAGGGACACTTCACAGAATTGGGTCCTTTTTCTTTTGTTGTAATAATTCAGGAAAACATTTTTCTTAAAATATAAATAAGTTGTGATTTTTTTTTTCATTTCTTTTTGTGGATCATTTTTAAAAAAAACTAAAAAATAAAGCAATTTTCTTATCATTAAATGGTCAACAAGAAAAGTAGATGTTTAACAAGCTATGTACACATATTTGTTTTTTTAGAACTTATAATATTATTTATTTTAATTTTTATTTGAACAAATTATATATATATATTGTATAAATAATACTGTTTGAATTTGGCTCATTTAAGAACATATGTCATCCTTTATTATTTGGATGGTCAAGAGTCGAGTTTCCAACTAACTCGACCGAAAAGCACATCTCTTCACCTGAAATTTGATTCGATTTAGGTTTAAATAAATTTTATCTGAACTCGAGTCTAATCCTACCTCATCTTTCACAAAGTACTAACCAACCCGATTAAAACCAAATTTAAAAGAAAAAAAGATTGATCCTATAAAATTAGATCAAAACCCATTAAATTCGAGTAAAACCGTCATTCCGATTTATGGAGACAACTCTAAAATTCAATTATATATAAGTAATTAGTAAAAAAAATAACAATTCAACAAAAAAAATACAATCAATAAGTCATGTTAATGTGTTTATAAACAATTATTTAAAAAAAAAAGTTACATTTTTTAAAATACAGAAACTTTTTTTGATAAAATAAAATTTATGATTAAAAAATAAATTTTTAAAACAAAATTATTTACTAAAACTATTTTTTCTTAAAAATAGCAATTTTTATTTTTAAAAAGATTTTTTTTCACGGGGTTGACATAAATTTTAGTAACGATGATTCAGTGTAAAATCTCATTTCAAATTCTCAATACCTAATCGGAGCCAAAAATGATAGATACATGTAGGGACGTGAATTTAACCCGAAACTGAAATATTTTGACTCAATTCGATTTGATAAGATTGAATTTTGTTTAAAAAAAATTCTGGTTCAAGTTGAAGCAAGGTCGGATTTGAGTGAAGGGTGAAAACTTCGACCCGACCTGACTCAGAGATAATAATATATATATATATTTAAAAAATTATATTTTTAACTAAGTTCTTATTTTATACCGGGTTAAGCTGGGTCATATCGGATTCATACTTTAAAAATTCTACGGATTGAAATCTGATGGAGAATATATATTTTCGGTCAGATCGAGTCGGATGAAAGATATATAATTTTTGAATCAGATCAGATTCATATAGATGATACATATTTTTCAATAGGGTCAGATTGATATAAAAAGAAACGACCCTAACCCTAACCCGGGTCGTTGCCAACTTGCCATCCTAGATACAGGCAAGCTTAAACCA